TTCTGAGAGGAATGAAAGTAAACTTCAAGAATTCCAAATAAATTCAATGGATCTTGCTTAACACCAATATTTATTGTATAAAACTGACCGCAGTTGTCCCAACGCATTACTAGGATCTAGAGGAGAGTCGATTCTTTCCAAGGTTGGGCAATTATTCCGCAATTCCTCTCGAAGGCGCTATAAATGAATAAAGCGAAGTATAAACGAACCAATTTGGCAAACGACATTAACAAGGTACGCAAAAAACTTTATGGCTGCTAAAACAGAAAAGCAATTGTAATCAAGCGAAACACGTTGCTGATTCAGAAATTCCAGCTGGTTGGTAGTGGCGACATGGTCCCTATCACAGGGCCTGTTAGTTACTGAAAATCAGCCGCACCTATTCCACAGAGCACGTTGCATACTATGCTCGTTAGCGAGCTAATAGACAGGAGTATAATGAGACCAGTTGTGGACGCCCTAACGGGTGGCACATTCATGCAGCCAACCTGCATCCTTCAAGAAGAGCTTTCGCGACTACTTCTACATGTTTTGTGTCACTGTCCTACAAGAAGCAGCAGCTTGGGTAGAATGTTGCAATAGGACGTTTTTGAACAACCAGCGAGAAAACTCATGGGTAAAAAGTAGCCACAGGTTCATTACCCCAAAAGGGCGTTTTGCTCACAAATCCTCTATTGTTTCATCAACCCTAGTTTCAACACAATAACTTCAAATGGAGTTCTCTAGACCGTGTAGCGCAGTTAGATGTCAGCGAGTGCTTTACTGGAACCGCTACATATTTCACCAAAAAAAACCTCACAGTCCTCGAAAAAAGGAATTAAAGGTAAGCAAAGTTCAGCCAAAAGCCACTAACCTCCGTCGCTGCTTCTTTTTCGCGGATACCTTTAACAAGGAGGACTCAATCTATGCAAATAATCCACCATTTCCACCTATAAAAAAGACCTCACGGATCTTTTACAAATCGTTAGACCAACTCCGCAGTACATTACCTGTTTGACAACCGTTCGAATATGTTCATCATTACCGCGGAGATATGCTTCAATTATTAGAGCAAATCTTTTGTACATCTCACTGATATTGCCACTCGAATCTCTGGAAATGGAAATCTCATCAGTGGCCATAAAGAAAGTTAAACAAACTGAAAAGTCCAATGAATTTTCTGAGAAATGACTTGCAATAGGACGTTCAGGAATGCACCTTATGCAAGATCCAGACGCAACTTATACTACAAACAGCTGGCACAAAAAGCATCTAATCATATTCTCAATTAGTTCTTCCTTTCACACGGTTGCTCCCTTTATGCACCTAGTCAGTTGGTTATCTTTAGGCGAAAATGGGCTCTGCACTCCCTCCTGAGTTTGACATATTGACGATAGCCTGCTGAGCGTGTAGCTCTGAATTTTTAGTTGAATTTGTTCTTCGGAACACCACCCCACATTATTCTACAAGAAATTCCTACTGTAAATTCTACTCACCAATGCAAGCTGTGATAAGAAAAACTGCAATGGAACAATACACACGGACAGTTTTAGAGCATGAAAAATATCAAATTAAATTAAACAAAACGAGGCTTATGCAATCGCGCATGAGGGTTTTGTTGTCGTCAGTGCGCTAAAACAATTTCACTACATAATGTGGTTGCGAAGTCAGTGCAAAACAGTAACGCTACTCTTATTGTGAGAAGCTCCCTTCGAAGTGACTAACCATAAGACACACTGCTGCGAGTGACACCGCCCCGACAATCAGGATGGAACATGCGTTTGAATGGCATTAAATCCACTGTCAATGCAAACGCATCCGCACATCTCGCAATGCGCCCCGATGATTACCGGTCGACGGACTACTTGAACTCAGCCCTTTACCGCCTCTGCGCTCTCTAGCGGGTCCCTCTCCTCTCCAAGGCTTAGTCCTAGGGCATTCTCTAATCGTCTGTGCTCTAGCCATCGCGGCAGGACCATTGAGGAAAAATCAAGTAGTCCCCGTAACTACCACCTACTTTTTACGTCTCCATTGTTACTAAAATGTGCTTATCGAAGTTTCCTCGCTCGCTAGCTGTTCATTATTTCTTTAGGAGTAATTAGAACTTTCCGTTAACCGAATATAAACGAAAAAAGAGTGAAATTAAACAAATACAAAGCAAAACTAGCAGCAAAGGAGCTATGTGAATAACCCAACTTGAGATTGCTAAAACTCTTCTCGAAGTATACCAGAACACCGCGGTTGTGCCCAATACGGTAGTTCAACGAAAAGAACGCCTATCTTCAATAGCGCACACACATGAGGTACACCATCGGCTGTATGACCACGCCTCACATTTCAACGCCTTGAAGAATATCATGCTATTGGGCCTAATATCAGAAATCCGCACTGTTAGAAATGAATGACCTACTTGGATGAATGGAAGAATAAACAATGGAAATGACTGGTTATCTAGCATTACATCCAACTGTGCAACCTGCAAAACGTCGAATGATTGGATCCATGCACCTAAACAAGACTCACACAAGTCTTTTTCAATGCCTATTTCAGACACAAGCCATACATTCTGTCCTTGCCCAGAAATTTGCTCATTATGAAAATATTCTATAAGAAAGGACCGATATACGAGCTCCTGTTACAAAGTGGACACATTCACGAGGCAAAAATATGAGGGCGGTGGGGAGGGGGAGGTCGAGGCGGTAATAAAGAAATGAAGGAAGGAAAGGAAGGAAGAGAACCTTACCCTTTCAATTACCCTAATTTCCGGTGTATAAGCCCGCGCCGATTTCACGTAAAACCACCCCCGCTCGCGCAGTGTAACTTTGTACACCTTAGAAACCACCGCAAATTTGCCTATAGAGGTAAGTCGATGCCCTGATCACGAAAATGACTTTCATTTTCAGCGCTGGCGCCACCTAGTTTGTCACACCTTGTTTTCGTGCCAAAATCGGTATAAACTTCAGTATAGGGGTTATTTAGGACCCTGAACTAGAGTCTATCGAACAGGAAATTTTCATTATACAGGCGCTGCGATTGTTTGACTTTTGGGCTCTATTTTTGCAGACGCGACCCTATCTTTTCTGCTCGTCTGCGCTCTCCAACCGAGACATGTGCACTAAACAACGTTAACGCCAAAAACGAATGTCATATTCGTAATCAGGGTCCCAAATAACCCCTATACTGAAGTTTACACCGATTTTGGCGAAAACAAGGGTCGTGACAAGGTGGCGCCAACTGGCGCCAGATGCCGCCACCGCTAAAAACGAATGTCGTTTTCGTGATCAGCATATCGAAATATTTTTTCATTATAGATAACCTCCTTTGGGCATGTTACGCGTTGACTCAGATGTACACAACGTAACATCTGCACCACCATGGAAGTGTTTTATACATGTATACAGCGCGGGGCTTATACATCCACCGGAAAATAAGGGTAATTGAAACAGCGATTCTAAATGAACTGCACTTTTCTACAGAATACAAAACCGCTGTCCTACGGTGAGAGGACCCCACTTCTCGAGGTATCACATAGAGTTCAGTAAAAACATGTTTTCCCTGTTTGTCCTCCACTGTCCAATGGTTCCGACGAGCGCTTCGCGCAATACACGGATGAAGAGCATCTGGTAAATGCTACGTTCAACTGGTCACATCAATATCACCTATGAAACAAGAAAACTCATACAACGAGGTTGAAAGAAAGGCAAGACTGCCATGAATCTTGAATGAATTTTAATGAAAAAAAAAACAAAAGGAATAATGTTTGGCAATGATCGGTAATTCTCAAAAAGACACTTGTAAGCTCGTATTACCATAACAAGAAAGTGTTATTCGTAATTCTTCAAAGGTGTGCTGGAAATGACAGTACACTCATAAAACCACGAATTGAACGCAGGCTGAAGGTGCCGTGGGTAAAGGAGTTCGATGTACACCCAAGAAACTAGTCGAAGCCAGCGGGTAGGCAATGCACAAGTGAGTATGGAATATCCTTCTATTTTATAAAGCGCTAACTTTGTGTGTCGGTTTGTGTATCTGTATGTGTGTGTGTGTGTGTGTGTGTGTGTATGTATGTATGTATGTGTCCGTCCGCAAAATGAAGTGAGTGAGAAGGAAGCTCATGGGATAAACAAACCGCTAACAAATCGGGTAGCTTACAGGATTTGAGATATCAATGTTTTGTAGCAGGATAGTTGTGATAACACTCTCAGGGCTATATAAACACCTGCTTAGCACACTTCCGTTCATTCCACATGGTGCTGCAGTGGCAGCTGGAGGGCAGTGGAGAGAGGAAGGGAGGATGAGGAAGGGAAGCGAAAAATCTACCGTCATATCATGATTGTGTCCCTTCTACTGTTTGAAACACCATTGTGTTGCATACGCGTCACTTCCACGAGGTGTTGGTGTCACAGGAGGAAGGGACCATAGCGGAGGATAGAAAGCTTGCGCAGGAAAGGAAGGTCCCGGCGGTTGACGGGGGACTAATCTGGTTAAATAATAAAAGAATTATGCTGTTAATCAATTTTTCGGATACGGCCAAGCATTTTACTTCCATCAGATTCGTAGTCGCATTACAATGTGCTTCATAATGGACCACTACGCACATATAGCTCGAGTATGTAAATCAAGCATTTTATCAGAGCTCTCGACAGTTTGTGCCAATTAAGACAAACGGGTGTGAAGATTCGCGAACTATGAAGGAACTGATACGCTTTGCATGGAGCTTCAATCTCTAGACCATGTGCACCATTCTCGTCACTACTTCCCCCAGAGTCCTACTATTAATAACTCTTTGAAAAAAGCTCGTCAATACCACTCTAACATCTGCGACAAAAAAACATCAGGCTCTGGAGATGCTCTCATGCTCTTCTTTCCCTAGCAATAGCGGTATCCACTGATCTATTTGTGACGGTTACTTGGAGCATTTTCATCACCACTGGCTTCAACCAGTCGTCACTCTGTCAATCTATGTGTAACGTTAGTACCAGCAGCATTGCCGCAATTTGTGTAACACTTGAACCGCAAGGACCAAATAAAGACTGTTATAGGAAGCTCAAAGTTCGAATAACTGTTACCTTTGATTCCATACAAACAACTCTTCTTCTGCTGAAACTACTCCACCCAGCAGTCGTTTTCTTATGGTAGCCAGTATCCTAGCGATACTGAATTCATCGGTCTGCTACAAAATAGAAGAAGAAGTTAATAAATGATGGATCAAGGCAATGATGGTCAAATCATACTGTAAGTGGGAACCTACCATCTTTTGCGGTTCTTCATGCGAGCGAACGAATCGCACAAACGGTGCAAACTGGCTGCTGTCCGGCATTCTCACATGAGGTGAACGATAGCGAGCCAGCTCAATAATCAGCCGACAGCTTGATCCTGATTAGAAAATAACGGATATGGTTTTAAAAAAATCGAGGAAAATGTTTAAAAAAAACCGAGAGGAACAGTGGAGTCTATTCGTAAGAGGAGTAGCAAGAAGTATCATGGTAGATGGAATGAAGGATGAGCCACTTGGATTCAACACACCCCCACCGCGCCATTCACATGCCCAGCCGAGGTCCGTTTTATACAAGATTGCAGGTGTTGAAAATTACAGATTTCCCAAGAAATATATACCCTATGTCCACACTTTCAAATTAATCACTGTGCTCAATGAGGAGTAATCAATATCCTAGTCTTGGATTGCACATGCACAAATTAGAACAAACTTCAATAAAACACTTTGCGTTTTCGATGGCGATACCTATCCACGGTGCGCTCGTGCTCTTGGCGTGTAGGACAACCCGAGATATGTGAGCAACATATAGTAAAATGCGGACTTAAAGGCACGAGTAGGAACCTATTAGCAATCTCAATACAACTTGTTCAAACGACGACGGAGTTTTATGGACGCGGATTGTGGAATGATTCAATAGGCAAAAGTCAAATTCCGAACTCACCTTGTTTCTTATTATTACTGCCGATTCGTCCGTGTGGTGGATATTGTGGCTCACCACCCCATAAGTTCAATGTCACCACTCCTTGCAGTAATTCACCCTTCCAATCAAGTAAGCGAATATTTGCCCAGCCAAGAACCCGATCTTCTGGCTGAAATGACTGCTTACAGTGACCTCACGACAGAAGAAGCAATTTCTTTGAATTTCTGAACTTTCTACAGTTTCATGCTCGTATGAAAAGCCCACGGGCCAAGATCAGAATAGAAAGCCTTGCACAAGAGTCAAAAGGTCATATAAACCCACAGAAAGTCCAAATCAAATTGTAAGAATCAAAAAAAAATTGAAGATCCGGAAGAGACCAGTACCTTTCCTTTCCTCATCTTCGTTTCTACAAGATGAACAGTTAGATATTGCAGCTGGCGGTAGATCTTTCATGTATAGATCGAAAGAAATCATACCCTGACAAATCAACACTACATTCGTTATTGAAATAAAATACTGCAAAAATAACATAGCAATGAGACAACTTAGGCTCACCTCCAGCCAACGTGGATTGTGACTTGGTACTTTGGAGGACGTTTTACGAGTTAACGAAGTCTTCCCGCAATACACAGTGAAGTCAACACTGATCTGGAGAAACTCGCGTACGCAAAATATCAAATACAACAGAAAACAAAAATAATAGAGTGGGTATGAAAGCTCTACCGACCTGCGAATCCATATCCGACGTCCCCATATTGCTGCAACTCAGCGGGCGCATCGAGAGATACTCGTCCACATCCCAGAGAGTGATGTAAGCCTCAGTGGAATCGCTTGCTCCTCCGATGCTTCCACTTCCACAAGGACTTACAGCGCCATCTCCGCTTGCCATTCGGCTCTCTTCAGCACGCACATAGTTAGGCTGCAATGAGCACACCTTTGAGGCAGACGGCTTGCTTTTCACTCACTGTTCACAATCAAGGTGCCTATAGTGGTCTGTTTCTGAATGTATAGGACAGTAGTACGAGTCACAGCAAGAGCCAAACAGGTTCTGCATGAGCGCGAGGTTGGCTGATCAACTGATTAGTATAAAAGTCGTCTGAGAGTGAAATTACCAATTTGAGAAACATCGGCCGACCTTCTGTGGGCCAAATCCACATTGACATGTTTAGGCGATTACCCAATTAACAGCGCATTCCAAGTGAATTCACCTAGTGGAATGCGCCCATTCACTTCAATAACTCAACTGAAAACATACTATGTGGGTAAACAAGGCTTCCTCTCAAAATTGGCGTGCACCTTTTTCAATGAATTCCATGCCCTCGTGCAGCCACTTAACACTTGTATAAAACACGAATCGCCGTCACTGAGAAAAACATTATCCACTGAGAATTCGAGGCTTCCGACAGCTGTACAATTCGCTCACGCTGTGTCATCAACGAGTTAAAAAGGACAAGAAATCCGTCACAGTGATAAAATAGTACTGAGACTGGGAAAAGACAAGAGCTGAAGTTCCTACATATATAATAGCTATGCAGCTTATAAATCTCCTATGGGCAAAGGCATTCATATTCGAGCGCCATGAGGACCTTCGACAAAAACCGCGTGCATCTGCCTTCTAATCAAGTAGAAATAGAACGGTGGCGCACTGACACGTTAAAAACTGTAGTGGAACTTGAACACCAATTGATCTATGCAGTGGGTTGCAGACGCCTGAACATAAACACTTCAATGCGCAGTCTTCCTAGACGAGCCTGGTACAGTAGTGTGGTAGCAGTAGTGTTTAATTTTGGAGAGATGGAGAGCTTAGTTGGCCTAGACAAGCTCGATCCGGAAATTGTACGTGATATGGCGGAACTTGCTACAACATCACCTTCATCATCCAAGGCAAGAATGTAAGGAAAATGGAAAATACGAAGTCATGAGAATAAAACAACCTCGTGGGCGCAACATGGTTTCAACATTGAAATTGTACCTTGTGAACCGGTCTCGGCTTCGGGTAATCCAGCAGAACTATCTCCTTTCTTCGCAAAACAAACCGCGGATTACGGTAGTTTTCGAATGCAGACCGTACTTCCTTAAAATAGGTATTCCCTAAGTGGTTTCACATGATAGATGATAAAACAGGTGAAAAAAATAAGAAAAATGAAACACAAAAGTAGTATCGTATGAAGAAATCTGTTTCACTAACCTCGTATATTATCAACAATTTGTCGTTTGCCGTTAAGTAACTCTTCTGGCCAACAAGCTGCAGCAGATAATCGGTATCCACTTCGTCTGCCTGAACCAACATCGAGTAAAAAGAGTAATTAAAGAAAATTCCGTACAGAAATCATCGAGGAAGGTCACACATTGAAATTCAATTCAGTAATGGTTTCACTGTATGCAGTAAGGTATTAAAGAGTAGCACCGCAGCCGCGTGCATTGGGCAACCAAACAGGGGGAAAGCCAAGCCTCGCCTGGTAAGCCAAGCCTTTCCACTACCCAGGTTAAGTATAGGGCGTCTGGAATCTAGAAAAAATGATTAGTACATGTGCTGAGTCCGCAACTCATTGTGCTGAGCACATCGTACCCACTATCATTTTCATGCAATCGAATGTGTGAAAGACCTCTAACGAAACCCTTCACCACCAGAAAGAATCCTTTATTTGTCCTCCACATATCACTACAAAAAGCTTGCTTAACAACGATAGGTAGCATTTTAGCTCGAAGGCTCAGAAACAGTTTCTTTTCTCTATATCAACGCAGTACTATTCATGCGTATTAGAGCAATAGTTGTTGCGCTGCTTGCTCACACCTATAAAATGTATCTTCGCGGAGATCGCTCAACATCCAAGTATTGCAAAAATATCAATCTTTGTATCGAAAGAAGCGACACTGTACCTGTATATGACCAGATCGTTTGAGATCCCGTACTACTTTCGCAACCAGAGAAGTTGGAGTCATATCAGGAACAAAATCCACTACTGCTTTGCGGCACCATGATCAATATTCTCCTTTTCATCCTCCAAAGTTCGGAAAAATACTTGATAGTTCAAATTCGCAGCTGAAAGCTGGTAATAAGACCTAACTGCAATCCAATGCCGACAAATGTATAACTGAATAAAAGCAAGAAAAAAAAAACAATAGCTCTAAACAAAGAAAAGAACGAGAAAAGTGAGTTCAACTACGGGTCGAATTCTATACTAATCATAAGTCAGCCGTGAAATAGAAAACAGATACCGAAGAAAACTTAAAATGCTTATCGGAACCATTTTTATAAAATTGAAAAAAAAAATTCAGAAAATCAAGCAAGGAGCGGAAAACGAACATTTAATCTTGGCAATCAGTGAGTGAGGGCACGGTTGTGCCACTTTCAGCACCACCGCTTCAGGAAAAGCATAATGTTCGTAGCCTTCGCTACCTGAAAGAAACTAGGTTTGGAACTCAACGGAAATTACTACCCCAGTACAGAGAATTTCAATAAAAACCTCGGCTATTCACGGCCTCAACAGTGTCTTTGAAAAGCGCAGCACGGCAGGTTTTCAATTCGTCCGATTAAACCCTGTTTCGAGTTCGTCCAATGAATATCCAAGAGCTTGACCTAAAAATGTCGAATTACGGTGAGCTTTTGGCAAATCCATACGCAGCTGGTTATTCGGTTAAACGGTTATGCAAAATATAGACAAATGAGGTGGTTACACCGCGTACATCACGTTCTAGGGGATTCGGCTAAATCGTTCTAAAGAAGGCATGCTCGCCGATATTGAAAATCGACATTTCGACGATTAACGCTTGACCAGTAGGCATTAAGTCGTTTTCACCCTCAACAAAAGCCGAACCGCTTCACTCAAAACCTCTTATTGGAACACGACTTTAGCGCGCAGCTGTTATGAGCACCATATATGCCGTAGCGCATCAGCATGCTTCCAAAATAGGTCAACAGACATGTGCTAGAGGGTGATGAGATCTGCGACTCACCTATGACATTCGCCAAATCTCGTTCATGTCGGAAGCTCTCCGGTTCAAAAAGCGACAGCATAGGATATGGTCTCGTGAAATCAATCTTAGACAGCAACATCTAAACTCAGGTAAATGTAGTAAGAACGAAATTGTTCGAAACAATCGAAAAAAGGTAAACAAACGAGGTTTCTGGATACTAACTAAGTCATCTATCAGTACAGTAAAAGCAGTGAGTACGACAAATCTGGATCCAACCGTTAAAGAATCCAGTGAAAGTGGAAGCCAGGCGATAAGCCTATACAATGTGTGACATTGCTGCAGGGAAAGTCACATTAGTAGCATAGCACTTAGGCTCTAACTTTGAAATTCGCCCAGTCTTCGAGCGTGCTTGCTAACGTGTGCAATTTCTTTACCATTATCGTTGATTTTCATGTTGAAAACGGTTCCGTATCAAACAGACGTAGTTGTAAACTTATTTTCCATGCCTACTCTTCTATAGGGGATAACTAACGTGAACTCGTCCAAATCAACGGACTAATTTAGGGTCCCTTATCGCGGGTTTCTGAATGATTTCTCTGCCTGATTGGCGCACCATATTTGATCAACATCAAATTATCTGTACTCACTGCCTTTAAGGGACACTGTAGATAAGAGATGTGTCACAAAGAGAAGAAGAAAGAAAAAGGAAGCTTGCTAGTGACCGGAAGCAAGGAGATGTACTGTATCATTCAGCTGTCAAGAAAATGTTTAAAAACAACAAAAACCAACCAAATCAAATAGAAAAGAGAAAAAAATCCCATAGAAAAAATTTGACAATAATCAAGAGCATAAAATTTAGAAAAAGATGGAGCTCACTTCTTCATTGTATAATTCCTCCATATCACCCGTTGACTTCCGTAACACTTGGAAGACATAATCAGTAGCTTTCATTGAAAACTGCGATACGGACATTCTGAAGGGAAAAAACAAAGAGCAATGCGATCACAGATTAATTGAAGCAAAACTGGTCGAACCTCTTCAATTTAGCGAACAATTCCGTTTTCAACCCGTTCAAACTGAACTCGAATCCGCAGCAAACCGTCACTTGCATCCACGGTAGCAAAACCTAAACAAGGATTGTACACAGCGAATCAGACAAATCAGAGAAAATACACAAAGAAAACCTACCGTGAGGAGCTGCCTTTCCCCCAGTCCACCCAACTCAATACAGCTGACCGCATCCGACGATGACGAGCAAAGAAGCGACGGGTTCGTGTAATCAATCTCGAATGTCGTTCTGAAACAAGAGCATATTTCATAACATAGTTCGAAGCTAAAGATAACCCTAGGCTCTTAATTGCTGCTACGGCAACAATTACAAATATGTGGGGGCAGATTAAGAGCACGTTTGACCCACCAACGAAAACCTAAACCGAAAGGTGGCACAAAAAATTAAATAGTTCCCGAGTCTGCGACGCGAAATTGTTACGAATGCGATTCAAAATTGCCCCATCTAACCATTCAGCTAATGTTAACAGAAAATTACTGTCCGCGTAGAGAGAAGAGAGGCATCAGCCTGCAACATGTTTACTTACACTTCCATCAAAAACACATACAACTCCAATTTCGGTAATCTATCGGCAAAGTGAAAAAGGCAAATCTATCGGAAAGGTGTCATTTATTTAGAACAAAATACTTAGGATCACAAAAGGGAAGATTTTAGGGAGGACGCCTAATCAACTTGGAAAATATTCACATGCCAACCATTCAAGCGCTGATTATAAATATGGAAACTAAAACTGCAAAATGATCCTGCCAAGGAAGGTTGTGAGCAGTCAAAGTTGGCTGAAGTAACGTTTACGTATTAACCGTGCTAGCCTCCTGGGCTTTCAAAGTCGCCTTAGAGTAGTGGTAGTGCTCTCGAAATTTTGCACTTCAACGGGTATGACCTATATATGAGCTTTCGGGTGAAGAGCGAGGGCACTAGCACTATTCCGCAGCGATTCTGAAAGCCTGGGATCCAGCACGGTTCATATGCAACGCTTTACTTCAGCCAACTTTGACTGCTCACAACTTCCTTGGCAGGTTCATTTTGCAGTTTTAGTTTCCATATTTGTAATCAGCGTTTGAAGCTCTATCGATATATCTGGGTCTCAATTCAAAGTTCCATGGGAAGTTGAATGCTTTCCCTGGTTAGTCCCAGGAGAGGCATTCAACTTCCCATGGAACTTTGAATATATTGAGTATGACCCACACAGGGCGTTTCTTACGTCAGCGCTTACAAAATATAGCGCAGGCCGTTGTTTCAAGTGCTTAGATCCTACACACCCAAGAAGACCCTCACCAGTAACTTAACCGATAACGTCGTACGCATGGACGAAAATGCCGACTGAAAAGCCTCTTAGGTCGTGCAGATCCCCCTGGGTATGGTGAGCACCAATCGAAACAAACTTACATACACTAGTTCGTGTGAAGCGCATCCCTACATTTTCTACATTGATCTTGGTCGCGGGCATTGCTATCGCTACGCGGCTTAGTCATAAAAGAAAAAAAAAGAAACTCAAAAAAGAATTCTGGAAAACTTCACAGAGCAGAACAGACCTTAATCAGCCCCCTCGACCAAAAAAAAAAAAGGTTTTAAAAAACCAAAGACACTCGAATATGCCAAACCTCTTTCTTTGTTCCCATTCATGATGAAGACCATGGAGCGTACGATGTACGGCTTCAATTCGACTCATACGTCCATCGGGTTGTTGGCTTGCATTCTTTTTCCGTGGTTCCACTCCCATGAAATCCGAGTTCCTGGATCCCGATGGACCTGGGAGATCGTCGCCGGCAGAGCTTGCGGCCACGGCAGCACCGCTCATCTCCGACTAAACTACAGAACAATCCATGCTGAATGTGCATTTTGAGAATTGTCCATCAGAAACATTTCAGAAAAACTATTCTCGTAAGGTCTAAGCAGATAGTGTAACCACGTGAAGAAAACACATTTCCACAGTCGTTCCAACTAGTATAGAGAACCTTCATATAAGCAATAACATGATGAAAAAAGTCAACGATAACAGACTTATCGGAAATGTCAATACAGTACTTCTCAATAATAGGACTTCCAAGAAAGCAAAAGAACAAAGAATGAATTATTTTGCACGAATCTTGCCCGTCACGAAAAAAGCCCGTAAAATTGGAGAACGCGCGAACGGTCGACGCGCAGTCACACTTTCTTTGAAGAGTTATGAGCGCTGCTGCGCTCCAGAAGGTCGCGGTAGCTGGGTGGTCGACGACGTCGCCGATGCCGATCTGCCCATATTGATTTTCAAACCTTCACCAACCATCGTAGCGCGCACTAGACGAGCCGTCTCTTCCTTGTTGAACGTTGGCTGAACAAACAAAATAATTAGATTAGATAAAAACACTTTAGATTCAAGGCAGCTGATAACTCGTTGAATTGAGGACACTACGTAAACACCCACAATATTCTCAAAGATATTGAGAGGGGCAGAAATAAAAGTCGCAGTTCTGAAGTACTCGCGGACGTCACCTTCACTTCTTTAGAAGACAAAATATCTTCCACCGGAGGGTCCAATTACTTGGCGCTAAAGCGTGAGCAACGCTCAAAATTCGTGATTTGAGATCAAAATCAGAATTTTGACAAC